ACCTTTTTTATACGAATATTTCACCGGTGCGTTCGTATAACGGCGGCCGCAAACGTGTAAATATAACTGATCCCTAAGTACAAACTTTTACCTTTATTTTTGCCAATATACAATACGAACATAGATATATCGTCACCTAAGGGCGAAAAAGTGCCAAGTCCATTTTTTTTTAATTCTTCAGGAGAGACGAAAAATCGATTTAGTTTCGTATTACCAGCCATTTTGCATCAAAAGCCAAACTTTGGAAAAAAACGGACTTGGCACCTTTTCAGAAAAGTCTGCCAATGGGCTCGTACCCAACCCCAATCGTAGAAGGCAAATGAGGCCAGAATAAATATTATGTCGGATATTCAGGCAGCGTTAAAGGCCTTAGAGTCTTTTAAAATGGCATCAAGGCTTGTGAACTCTTGAACCACCTGGGAGCCCACAATAACGTAACGCTGTGGGGGGCTCAGGGACATGAAGGGTTTGAAGGTAACGAAAGGGCTGACTATCTCGCAAAGCGTGGAGCCCAAATGCGTTTGCAGGGTCCCGAGCCATTCTGCGGTACATCCAAATGATACACTGCAGACCTACTTAGGAGCTAGCTGGGAATAATCTCAAATTACTGCCGACTGGCGGAAGTCAAAGGGATAAGAAAATCAAAGAGATGCATAACTCTTTCCAGAAGGAACTCCGACAGCCACCTTGAATTATACTCTTAATGGCAACCTGACAGCACCCTGCAAGTTAACGTACCGGTTGAATTAAATGGTCTTTCTGTAGAGATGGACTGTAGGTTTTGTGGGCTGGTGAAGGAAACCCTAGAGTATATTCTATGTGCCTATCCACGAAGTATGAACCTAGATTGATACACTCTTGGATAACTATTCTCTTCTCCATCTAAAGTTTGGAAATGGCTTCATCCACAGTGCTGAGCTTTTTAAATAGACTAAGGTTGGAGTGATTACAATTAGGATTTAGCACAATATATATTCTTAGGTCCCAGCGCGGGTATCTCCGACGTAATAATAATAATAATAATATCGTCACTAGACACGAATAAAGACACTCGGGTGTTTTGAAGACGAAAAAAAACGTGAAAGTATTTGAGGAAAAAGACGCGTGAACATGGATTAACATCAAAAACTCTTTGGGAATTCGTATACTGTTAAACTCGCAAACGTTGTTGACCGCGAACTAGTTATCTTTTCATGTAAGTACTCCTACAGGCATGGTAACGATTGCAGGGGAGCACGGTTGTCTAAGCATCGAGAACTTGTAGTATCAATATACTGATACTGTCCGATTTTTGCAGGAACCGAGTGGCTACACTGCGCACTTTTGTATACTCAATTCCAATAGAGTACATGCCAATGCATACACGGCATCCTAACTAGCTACAGGACATATGTGCGTCAGTTCAACATTCGTAACAGAGCGCAGCGGGGTCAGATCTGANGGGCAGGGGGGGATGCAAATTGCCTTACACCAACGAGCATTTTGAATATGATATACAGTTCGAACGGCTCAATGAATCGTTTAAAAAAGCTTTCGAAGTGTATTTCTTCCAAGTTGTCAAAAACTTTTTATTTGTCACGGGGAAAATACCGTAAAAATTATTTGTATCGTACGAATATCTATAGAAATTATCAGGGTTTGAAAAACTGTTAGCACAGCGACAACAGCCAAGCATTTGCTTTTTTATAAATTGTTGTTGCTTTGCTAGCCGGCAATTACAAGTACCTGATGAAGATCTTGCAGAAGCAATGAGCTTAGCCGACGACGCTTTAAAGGATTTTGAAGAAATGCGACAAAATGCAGAAAAAACTTTCATTTGCTTTTCGAACACTTATACCATGTCCCCACCGGAGCTAACCACGTAGTTATGGGTATTGAGTTGGTTATCCCGATAACCCACTTGATTTAGCGTAGTTTCGCCATATAAAAATGACAGCACTTAACCATTTCACTGAGATGGTTAAAAGCTAACCAACTCGAAACCACGTGGAAAGTCTGATACAAACCTGTGTTTTCCCGCCATCTGTGGGTCATTAGCGTTAAAATGTAAAGAATTCGATCCCTACTATTGTTTGGGATTAGATTAGATTTACCCCGGTTTTTAAAAATATTTGAAATCAAGTCCTCTACTCCGCTTGACTTCAAATCTATTCCGTTTTTTTCATTCATGTTATGCCCCTCTTGGGGCCGTTTTTGGAGTGTTCACCACCGGTTTCAGTAAAAAAATTGAAAGTTAGCCAAATCTCACTGTTAAAAAGTAACTCTTTCATAGCAATGCGTCAATAAAGTAACTTCGTTATTTTTTGATGTATGGCTGTACAAATTGGCGGATGCAGAACTTTACTTAAGTTGTAAAAAAATATATGTAGAATGAAATTTATATAAAGTAGAAAAGGTTTGCTTTTTTTAAAATTAAGTGTTAGATACGTTCTACTATATAGGAAATGCTAAAAATTACCGAAATATGTAACATATCCTGACATTGCCTCGGGTACTTATTTTGCATGAATAGAAAATATTTTAGTCAAACAATTAATTCAATCTAGTACGGAAAATTTGTTTTTGCTCCGATTTTTGCAGCAATTTAGTCCTGAATCGTTTTTGGGAGCTCCGAACACTGTTCTTTACATTTGTAGTGTTTTATAAACCTCAAACCGCAGTGTGGACAGCAATAGTTAGTGATGTGGTTAAGTTCGATTTGAGATGGTTAACTTTTTTGTGGGGACATGGTATTGGAAGAAGTATGCACCAACCTAGGTACAGAAATCAAAGTATCGCGATACAGCAGTCGCCAAAAGAATCGCTTTAGTGTGAAAACCGGAGACGCCGAGGCATACTATCGCATTGCTTTTTACATTGCCTTCCTTGATACATATATTGCTCATTTGAAAAGCCGGTTCCTAAACCATAAATAAGTTTTATTTAATTTTAGTGTTTTGTCTCCAAAGTACGATTTTAACGAAAAAAAACTAAAGAATTGTTTGCTTTCTATGAAAAAGTAATCGACTGCTCGAAACAAAACTTTCTTCTGGAGGTAAAAATGTGGAAAAAACGAATTTCACACGAACATTTTCGAAATGCTGTCGAAGCATTACAAGTAGCTAATACATCGTCTTTTGGGAATGTTTTTAAGATCTTACGTATATTGGCAGTTTTGTCCGTTTCAATAGCCACACCTGAACGAAGCTTTTCATGCCTGAAAAGAATTAAAACCTACTTGAGAAATACAACGTGTCAAGAAAGGCTCAACAGTCTAGCATCTATGAATATTCACAAAGATATAAATTTTTCAGTTAAACAAGTTCTAGAAGAATTTTTTAAAAAACCACGAAAAATTTGAAAATTCTTCATTTCATTGATTTATAAGTAAAAAAAAAAATTGAATGGACCGTATGAATAAAAATAAGCAATTGCTTTTTCTTAAAATTTCAGATCTTTTACTCAATTTATTCAAACAAAATTGAAGTAAAAGGTATGAAATTTTAAGAAAAAGCAATTGCTTAGTTTTTATTCATACGGCCCAATGTGATTAAAATTATCAAAAGGTTTTATAAATAAAGCGAAAAATTTAATATATGATTTTAAAAATTCGTGTTTGAAACTTTATTACGCATACTTTCTTGTAAAGAGCTTTTTTTCTAGACCTATATTAATGAAATATTATTCTCTGATTTGAGGGGGGTTTAACCCCCAAACCCCCTCCCCCCCGTGTATCCGCCACTGACGAGCAGTGATCGGGTAACAAACAATAAGCTGGCGCAGAGACACGAGTTGGTCCGCTACAGCATGACAGAGGAACACTTTTGTAAGTAATCCAATATACCACAAATAGACTACATGGTCCAACGATTTTTGCAGGGTACTAGAACATTCAAATAGACTACATGGTCCAACGATTTTTCCAGGGTACTAGAACATTCAAACGATTCAATAAGTGGGACTATGTGCATTGCTTCGTATGTGAAACACACATGTGCTCAGAGAGCGGTCAGCATTCTTTAGGGGTGGCTCACAAGCATGAATATGTTCCGCTCTCAAACCAAATCGTGGTTTCCTCAACTAAGATTTGGTAACTATGACTAACCATGTGTTGAAAGAAAGCTTAAACTATGTTCACATATCAATATTATCTCAATCAAAGCTAGTTTTTTAATCACCCCGTTTACACAGGCAAATCTCAGATTATTAGCCGTCAAATTTGTTGTGCTTGTTATTCCCACATCTCAAGGAAAATTTATGTTTCTTCTCTGTGCCACCGTGTTCACGTTTTTCTGCTATAATAAGCAATATAAATATATTTTAACTTAACATTTTATTAAAAATACCTTTACAAACCTCTTTTACTTGCTAGCGTACATTTTTGTTTACTTTTACATTTGGCATTTCTCCTCTCTTTCGCAAAAACAATCGATAAAACTAGGATGGACACCGAAAAGTTATCGGTTAAATCTGAGATTATTTTATAATTACAGATTAACAAGGGACGAATTTTATACGACTAATCTCTTGTTATAATTACAGATTAGGGTGTTAAGCTCGAAAATGAGGATAATCTACTTATATGTGAACCTAGTATTATCCGTATTAGCAGAGCTTAATGACATCCTTTTATGAGCCATACGTTAAGTTGAATGGAATTTGTAGAAATATGCTTCAAAAAAATATTTATTAGTATTTACCAACCCTTCAACTAAATTAACGATTTGGTACAACCTAGATGGATATTAGAAGCTTTATATACATATTTAGTTATAATTACCAAACCATGGTAATAGTTCCCAATCCTTGGTAACAGTTCCCAAATATTGTCGAATTTCGGGAACTAAATATCTTTAGTTGTCGAAACTAATCCTTTTTCTCAGAGCGCAAATAAAGCTCTGCATTCCTTGCGGTCAGTCTCTCAGTATTAATTTATATATTTTTTTCAGTGGAATTAACTTATAAAATTATTTTTTAATTTAATGAAACTAGCTGTAATTTTAATTTTATTTTACCTTTAGCATGATGGAGAGGATTGCCAATGATGCAGCGTGCTCAACAATGGGCCTTGGTTTCTTAGCGCGCACACCCAGTTATTATAAGGCATTGCGTCATCTACGAAATTTTATGAACAAGGTATTTTCAAGCAAATATTACTGTGTATTCATTCATATTTTAATTTATTTATTATACTACGTACATATGTATGTAAAAATATATTTAATCAATTATCATTTCCTTAGCTAATAGAAAAGAATGCAAACAACAATATTAGTTCCAGTAGCAGTGAACCTTGGGCGAAAGGCGAAGAAGCGATGAACTCATTTTTAGACACGGCCTTGAATTATTACTGTCGAGGGCATTTGAAAAAAGAAGATGTTATCATCGAATCTATTGGCTTGATTGGCGCGGTAATTTATAATATGATCTAACATTCCAATAAAAGAATACTAATTTAGGTATACACATGATTATACAAAAATATGTACATGTATGTACATACATGCACACATACACTGAAAAAAGAGTCTAATCTCAGTACTGCTGGAGTCAATCGCTACTTTTGGACCGCTACTGCACTGACTTCTATTTCGGTAGCTGCTCTATTAACCCGTTGTAGTGCGCATGGTATTGCAGAGTCGAAACAGTCGCAAGCAGAATTGCAAAAACCTACGAAAGAGGCGTCCATACTCCTGGTAGTGAAGAGAGAGCCGATGCAGCTAAGGATAGTTGACAGCCCTGAATGTCTTGATTATAATTTTTAAAAATTTTCCGAGATGTGTAAAAAATGCAATCGTGCAAAATTAAAAGACTGCACAAATATTCAAATTCGAAAGATCGATGATGTTCTAAGTAAGTCTCGCAGAGTGTTCAAAACAAACTAAGCGATGACGAATAGCAGACCTAGCTAACGCGCACGTATCTGCCGAAATAACAGACATTGATAAAAATTGTATTGAAAACTGTGTAACATACAGCAAGTCTTGTCTTCAGGGTCACGAAATTCGAGCCAGATACTGCTGAGGAATTGACAACGTACTATTCATGCTATGCTTTTCCCCACCAGTTCACAAAATTGTAATCCACGCTCCTGATGTTATTGAACATGCTGTAGTAGATATCGATTGGAGAGCTCTTTGAAGAAGCTCCTGAAACCAAAAACAAAGAAATTTAAATTTATCGTTTCCATCACCAAAAAGGAATTTGCTTAATCGTTTGCTCCTGAGCTATGATCCCTTTTTAACTGGGCAGCAAAAATTACCTAGCAAGAGGTAGCCATTTTTTAGAAATTCGTTTTCGATTTTCTGAGTAACTTGGAAATCAATTTTCAATTAAATTTTTCATTATTTTATAAGTATTATTTTGCATCTTGTGAAAAACTTTTCCTGAAATAAGGCGGACCTATGCGTGCGTTTGACATAAAATTTCAATAAACGGATATTTATGACAGCACCTACATACATAGCAATGCATAAAAACGTAGTTCTCCGGCTATACAGAGAAGCATGCAATGTAGGTCCCCCTTTAAAAAAAGCATTTTAATTTTTTCCAACTTTTTTGTTTCATTAGGCAGGGTGGAAGAGGGGGGCGTAAGAGGGTTTGGAGCCACTTAAGTGTGGCCATTCTATGATTAATTACTTATTATAATTTTCTAAAGCTGAAACCAAAGATTCACATCGATATCTCTACTGGAAGTATTTTTGGCAGCCGACTCCATACTAGATCGATGCGATGGTGACTACTGCCTAGGATATTGCCTTTTAAACGTAATCGCTGAAATACAAGCCAAGTAGGCGATCGAAAATCTAAGGAGTTTACAGGGTAGATACCGATTCATCTGTCCTGTAGTCGCTCCCCCGTACTGCAGGGTAGTTACGTCAACTGGTGACAGGTAACAAGACTCAGTGGTAAGAGTAATAATGCATTACATGCGTGATAAGCTGGGAACGTATTTTTATAGAACGTGCCTTTTTTCCTGCTAAAGATATAGAGTATATTCGGTTAAGAATATCCACGATTTAGCTTTTCCTGATTCCACATATGGCCCAAAACGCGGACTGTTACATTACATTTTGGATCACACAGCTTTAGAAATACCACTGAAACTCAGTAGAAAATAATTATCCGATTAGTTTTCTTCTTACACCTTAAACTATGAACATGTAGCGATATTTTTCATGTACACACAATTATTGTAGCTCACGTTGTTCAGGACTAGTGAACGGTTTAAGACCTGACTGTTGCATTACACATTTTGGAAGTAGATTTTAAAGGGATCGTATATTATCGTAAAAGTCTGCTCTCCTAGTTGAGTGTTTTCAATGGNGAGTGGGACTATTACGTTACAGAAATAGACTGTTACGTTACATGTACGATATACGNTAGTCGGACTATTACGTTACAGAAATAGACTGTTACGTTACATGTACGATATACGTATTCTGTCCGATTAAATGCTAAAACAAACTCCGAAGCGCAGCTTACGATACATTTTCGAGACAAAACATGTTTCTTCACGATGTGTTTGGTAGTTACGCCAATTCCGTCTACACAACTCTTTCCATGGGAAGTGGCAAAATAATTACAATATATTTTTAATCCGAACTCGCTTTCTAATAAAGGAATAACTGCAGCAATATACTTATTTTTGAATTGCGATGAAGGTCCGTCACTCCAAATTTTCAATATTTTTACTGATTTTGGTAGTCCTGTTAGCAATATGTATTGTTTCCTTTTGTATGTGCCAAATCGTCGGATATGAAAACCTTCGATTGGAATCTGTATAATAGAAAGCAGTTGTGAACAAAGATAGTTGCTTCTGATTCCAGTGTGCGTTTTGAACTTCATCTTGCCATTCACATACGAAATTTTCAGCGAAATCAATTTGGAGCAATCCTTCGTTTAATTGTTCGTTAGAAGCCCTTGGGCGATCGTACTTGTAATAAATATCCAACTGCTCTCGCTTAACATAACTATGGCGCAAAAATTGGGGCGATAACGAAGTTATGTGAACAAGCAAGCCTTTCAGTGTTCCAGATTCTTCGCGTTTCTCGATTCATTTAGAACTGCCACTTTTTCGCCAGACCATCCATTTAACGGGAATATTTAGGTTAATGTCACTAAGTTGTTTCTTCAGTGATTCAGAAGATATACCATCCCATTTGCCACATCTTGAAAACCAACAATCTGTGTTGGTATCCTCACACAAAAATTTCTNGTTAATGTCACTAAGTTGTTTCTTCAGTGATTCAGAAGATATACCATCACATTTGCTACATCTTGAAAACCAACAATCTGTGTTGGTATCCTCACACAAAAATTTCTTAACAAAACCTTGATTATATGTTGGCATTGATGGAGCATATTTATGAAGAGCTGCGACAGCCTCAATAAAATTGGAGTGATAAGAACACATGCACATGCAATGGGGGAGATCCTTATTTAATCTTATATGTTCTGGGCGATTTTCAGCAAACAATGTAAGGCCACAGCCATCTAAGGAAAATATAAATAATTATGGGCCAACATTCCACAACTTGTTGTTAAGATTCCTATACCTTTCCCTGTGGTTTCTTGTTCTTCATCAAATATTGCAAAGACTTCTTTGATAGTCAGGAGCATGTACCTCGTCGGAAGAAGTACTTTTTCCCCAGTTTCTAAGTTGTCGTATTGTTTAACATCTTTTGTTTTTGGAGAAATTTTGGAGATGTCATCCCTTTCGTAAAATCTTCTAATTTCTTCTTCAACCCTAAACCAGCAACTTTTCCGCCTATTCACCGCAGGTGGTCAAATAATATTTAAAAGGTCATGTCGGTCTTGATCTTTCATGTCGCTTATAATCTTTGTTAAGACTGCGTTTTTGCGTGCCCTAGAAGCGGGAAGTGCATTCATAGCTTTTTTCACTGCTTTACCTAGTGCTTGGGTGGATTTATAGCCTTTTTCAACCTCAGCGGCACCAATTTCGTGACCATTTATCGGTTCATTGACATCAGTGTGATTCAGAACCGGTTTAGATTTAATTTTTTCTCGGTGCTTCTTTCCATTTTCTCGAATAACTGAGCGGCGGGTTTTAACACGTCTTTTAAATTCTTCGATTGGCAATTTATTTTCTTCATTTCTTAATTCCTTGCGCCGCTTTCTTTGGGCGGCGGCCCGTTTCTTTTTAAAGCCATCGAATTTTCGCGTTTGTTTTAACTTTTCTATGTAATTTTTATTTGTTTGAGCCTTGATTAGCTTTATGATTTTAATTGTATAACAGCTAGACGTCTTATGGCTTACAATTTAGCTTGGAAAATTAGCTAAAATAAAAAATTTCTTACTTGAAAATTAAAGTATTAAAAAGACTGTTACGTTACAAATATTTTTCCCTTTAAAACAAAGGTATAAGGGACAGTACAGTAGATTTTTTTTTTTTAAATTATGAAAGTAGGCCAAAATTGCTCGAAGAAAACTACGATCTTTCATTCTTTTAACCTGGTGGATTCCACGCCAAAAACTTTTTGGTGTTTTGGACTATTACATTACATTAAAAAAACCTGTCGAACTCATTTTCATATCGAAAGCTGCATTTATTGTCAAATATTTGTTTTATTAACTTACAGAAAACATTAGCCCAGCTAAGAGCAGCAAGTATTATATGAAAAATGACCGTCATTAAATATAAACTACCTTTTAGTTTCGTGTTGTTCTTTTTTAATTTTTAATATTTTAAAGGTGTCTCAGGATTTAGTGAATTTTCATGTTTGAGAGAAGGAGATTCGTGTTTATATTTATGTTGTCCGATACCTTAGAATATGTATGACCAAGATATAATCAAAAATCTGCGAAACCTCAGAAAAAAAAATTTTACCCTTGGTTTCGTTTTCGGCGATTTAGGCCATATACACATTTGATATTGCCTTTTGTTTTGCTTTTTTAAGATATTTGCCTTTTTNGATCTTTCATTCTTTTAACCTGGTGGATTCCACGCCAAAAACTTTTTGGTGTTTTGGACTATTACATTACATTAAAAAAACCTGTCGAACTCATTTTCATATCGAAAGCTGCATTTATTGTCAAATATTTGTTTTATTAACTTACAGAAAACATTAGCCCAGCTAAGAGCAGCAAGTATTCTATGAAAAATGGTGTCTCAGGATTTAGTGAATTTTCATGTTTGAGAGAAGGAGATTCGTGTTTATATTTATGTTGTCCGATACCTTAGAATATGTATGACCAAGATATAATCAAAAATCTGCGAAACCTCAGAAAAAAAAATTTTACCCTTGGTTTCGTTTTCGGCGATTTAGGCCATATGTACATACAATTATTAACATACTTTCGTGCATAATCTATTTACTACATTTCCACATTTTTAAGCACAAAAATGCGTGTGTTGTATAGTACACTCGGAGCGCTCGCTCGTCGCTCA